GGTTAAATGCATTGGATCCTAACTGAATCGAAAATTGTCTCTCAATTGGCTAAGTGGACAGCCCCGTTTGTGTGTGTGTGTGTGGTATCACTGATTAAGTATACGCTGCATGGACTCATAAGAAAAACATTAAATGGAAATAGTTGTTGTTGTGGCCATGCGCTGGTTATCCTGTCAGATCATTTCCCCTTTTGGGCTGGCGCAAACTGACGTGACATATTTGATATTAATTGACAACATCTACACCTGGGAATGCCAGCAATACACAGTCAATAGAAACAAGTTTGGTAAGCTGAAATACGGTGATATCAAGATATATCCCTCAAATGAAAAAAAGCTTGAGTCATAGAAATAAAATTCAGCATTGTGATTGTTGATTGGTATTAAAGAAAAGGATTTAACTAACTCTGTGGCTAACTCTGAGATATATGACAGCATAACCTAAGGATAACATTGGAGATACTGCCTTGTGCAGCTAAAGGTTGCACTGATGGTTGGTCAGATACAAATAGTGGGCACAATAGAAGGCAAATTCGAAGTTTGCGCCTACGGCAGTTAGATCGTAACTTACGGTCGCAGCGGACCATATCTATGGCTTATTATCTAATCATCTAATCTATTGAATCTATAATATAAACTATAATATCTAATCATCTATCAATGCTTATCCTGATTTCCTTAAGGCGACCAATAGTCTCTTTTCTTTCAATGCAAGTTATATAAAAAAAAACTAAAATCCTTCAAAGAGCCATGATAAAAGGAAACTGCCTATAAAAATTACATAGGTACACAATTTAAAAGTCTGAGTCAATCTAAAAAAAGTATTCAAAGATTTAAAAGTAAGATATTCGAACGAAACTTGTACATTCCATAACCATAGAACCTGTAGTATAGATGCACATCCATTTACCAAATGCTTTTTTTCTAAATGACTTTTAAAAAAATTCTGAATTTGAACTCTGCGCTATTGATTTATTGTTTTTATTCATTATTAATTAATTAACAATTTTTATTGATTTAATGCAGTATAGAAATTAAAGCAACCATAATTTGCCGACTTAAAAATTCATATGTATTCTACTTTCAATAAACGTAATAATTTTTGTAAAATATCATTTACGTACTTAATTATGTAAATATTTTCCTCTAAATAATCACCTTTGAACGATTTCGAACAGCGTTAAAGTTCTTTAATCCGTACGCTTTTCAATTGCAATTCGAAATGGCATCAACTAGAGAAAACACATACATTTCCACAATTTTCGTGCGTCTTTGCTTGGGCGTATTAACAGACTATTTTGCGAGTTACGGCAACAGTGCAAATCCCCAGAAATTAAACCGCAAACACTCGGCACAAAACCACAAAAGCCACACAACAAAACACCCTCACCAAAAAACACACACACTCTTGTACACAATATAAAAAAAATAAAGCAGCTATTGGGATATTTATCAATTTGTTATGCTGCCACGGCTGCGAAAATGGTTTCGAATGCTCGTAATCCAATTGCTCCTATCAATGACGTTTTCCGGCCTGCACTGCGTATACGCAATATAATGGCATATGGCTGTCCATTGAGCCGTTTGGTAAAATTGCTGTGCTATTGCTTCCTAACGTTTCTTTCGTAGTTTTTCTTTCCATTTTCGATCATATTTAAGAACCAACAAAATATATATTCTTCTACAATATAGTCCAAGCTAATTCGCTTAATTTTTCATATTTGACTATGTTTCTTGGAAAATGAAATTTTCTCACTGATTTTAATATATTTTTCGCTGTTATGTAGCTTTTTCTGAGATTTTGTACTGTTTTTGGAATATACTTATTTCAAGTCTGTTCGGTTACCGAACTCATTCGATGCATATGCACATGTGCGCGTATTATTTATGCAAAAGTTTTCCATTTATGATGCTCAAGTATTTACAAGGCGACTTTAAATGCGGCTGTCAACCGTTTCGGCGGCTTCAGTTGCTAAGCTCGTAAATACGCGCGCATTGGTTTTCAATTTGAAAATGTGTTTCGGTGCCAGAAGAGTGAGCCACATATGCATATAATATGCATGCACGTGTCTCTACTGCCTGTTCCTGTTATTGTAAGCCATTGATACTTTAATGTATGCACCAGTGGATGACGGTTTACACTCGCTCTCTGCAGGATTTGTATATGCGAGCGTGCGGAAGCCCTTTATGGGACATGCTGTTGGCTTTGTGATATGCGTGCGATATAAGCGTATGTCATGCATACACAACAGACATAGCTAGTGACAAACAAGTGCTTATTCACTTTTTTTAATTAGTGTATGTGAATATAATATCATTATATTACAAATTATACAAAGTTATATTTTGGGGTTGGTTTGGTAAAAAATCGCCATTTTATGTCTACGTTAATATTTATATAATTTGTTTTAATTAAATTAATTTTATTTTAACTTAAGAAATTATATGAGAAAAAAAGGTCCCATCAACACGGTTATAAAAAGATGAATTCCGTTGCACAATGTAAATTACGCTGCTTTTTAGAGTATATGCATGTATAAGGGATTGTTAGAAATGTTGCCTAATATGTCCTTTTCTTTCTTTGAATCCTCTGATTGTTATCATTTTCCAAAAAGAAACCACTCAAGACTAACTTCTGATGTAATATTTTGCATCATTATTTTTAAAGTCGATCTTTTTTTTACTGTGTTCAGTCGATGTTACCATGGTACGAAATATAAGCTTTGCAAATACCCCTATAAATTTGTTGTTCAGATCTGTTCATAAATCGCTCTCAAATCACACGACCATGGCAATTTCTATCTATTGACAATGTAATTAATGAGTACTAGCCAAAGTGTCAGGAACCGCTGCCTGAGTAAACAGCATGTGGGCTCTATTTGAAAACCCACAGGCTTGTGGACCAATAAATAAACCACGCCCACAATAAGTATAGGGCAAATTGTACATTACAAGCCCAAAACCAAAATACAAAGCAAATATTTATATTTTCCGCTTACGAATGTATTGAAATTCTCATGTTGGGTTAAATAAAGTACTCGTTCATTTGGTTTGGATCAAATTGAAAATGGTAATGAGCCCGCCAGACATTGTTAGTTGATGCTCATTAGGAATCAATACATATCGAGATACAATTTCTCTATACAAACATATGTTATGCAAATGTAGGACATGTTGCGCCCTGACGTTGCTCCCTGATTCATAATTAATGTATGTATTAAATTTCATTCAAAGTGCATTATAATTTCATAAAATATGTATACAACAAATGTGCTGCTAGAAATTTAATGTATTTTCTTATATAATTTATAAATAACAAATAGTATTTGTCAAATACACATTTTTTCAAAATCACATTTAAGCCCGAACGCCGATTGTCCTGTTCAGACAAATAAGCACATCTTGGAAACCAAAAGGTTGATTTCTGTTTCTTTGGTTCTTTAAGGAAGAAAATATTCAATACCCGCAAGAATGAAGGACCTTGTTGTACACACAAATAAGCATATAGATCGGTCATATCCTCGCGAGTCCTGAAAAGTCCTGTGTCGAAAAACAGTATTGACTAAGATTTCCAGCTGACCAAAGGACATCCAAAATCGTCCGTGTAGTTTTCAAGATATCAATAATGTTGTCTTCAGTCTATTTCCTAACGCATCGCGACAAATTTTACGAAGTCCGTGATTCTTAGAAGAGCTCATAATTTTTTAATGCAGATCGATGCAGTTGGTCACTTCGATCCTAGCGCACCATGTCCCTTAAAAATCTGCAAGGATATGGCCGAGTAATGCCTATTTTTCTGAAAAGGATACTATTACAAAAGTGACCATAACTTGAGCACTTCAAGGACTTTCCACATGTCCCTTAGCCGTCAGACCGTTCTTGTCTTGCCCATTCAGAATATATAATGAAAAGGACGAAGGTCCTTTAAACGGCTAAGATATACGAATATTTATTTTGTACATTAAAAAGGTCAACACTCAGCCGTGTCCTTGTAGATCCTGTCAAATCCTACGTCAAACAATCCGTTTTGATAAGGACCATAAAGTGGCCAAAGGACATCAAAATCGTCCTTCTGGTTTCGGAGATATGGCTACTTTTCTAAAAAGGACATTCTTCTTTTAGCCATATCTTGGCCATATCCTTAAGGATATCAGAAGGATATACCTTTCCGAACTCGTGAGAAGCAGGACTATCGACTGGCATTCAAGGATTTCCAGGATTCGACAAAAAATTTCACTAAAATTTATTACAGGGGTTTAGTCAGAAAATGGCCAAAAGTCGAAAAATTCGGGACTAACTTCGCCATTTGAAGGACTATCAGGATGTCCTTTGGACAGCAGATAGTCCTTACCATCCCATTTAAGAATATACAACTTGAAGGACGAAAGTCCTTCAAACAACGAAGTTTTAAGGACAAATTTCAATAAAGAAAATAGGCCATAACTCGGCTGTATCCTTGCGTATCCTGACAGGACATGTGTCAAAAAAATTGTACTGACCAGGCCTACCAACTGGCCAAAGGACATCAAGATCGTCCTTGTAGTTTCAGAGATATAGCGATTTTACTGAAATTTTGTGTTTTCAGTCGATTTTCCTTGCGGCCCGCGACTGAAAAATTACCAAGTCCAGGGTTCTTAGATGACCCCATAATGTTTTAATGCAGTTCGATGCAGCTGGGCCTTACGATTCTAACGCACCATGTCCTTCGAAAATCTGCAAGGATATGGCCGTGTTATGGCTATTTATTTGCTCAAAATGCCCTCATATCCCTCCTATGACATTTTTAATCAAATTCCTTTTTATCTTTTCAGGTTGAAGGATTTAAGGACTCCAGTCGATTTTAAGGACTTATACGAATCTTACGAGGCTATTTCTTCCAGGATCGAACGTATTTTAAGCAAGATATAGCCATTTTATGCTAAAATCGAAAATACATACAAAAAACAACAAATTTTTAAATTTTACCACAAATAAATAATTTTATTAAAATTATGTGAAAAATTCCTGTTTTTTTACTTGTAAGGCATATAGGATTGTGTAAAATGCAAAAATCGACGATCGCTAAAAATCTGTTGCATACCCGTAACGGGCGTCCGTTGGCGGCCTCTGGTTGCCGAGATATTTCTCAAATTCTGCCAAAATACCAGGCGAACAGAAATGCCCAGAACGTCGACAAAATTTTTCAGCAGCCGAACATTTTTTGTTGCATACCCGAAAGGGTCGCCCTCATCGGCGGCTGGGTCCCAAATTTGTACTAAAATTTCACTCAAATACCAGGCGAACAGAAATGCCCAGAAGGCCGACGAAACTTTTCGAATAAAAATATTCATTGCATACCCGCACGGGGCAGAAATGTAACTCATTTAAAATGAGAACTGTTAAGTAACGGCTCATGTAAAATGAGTGCTGTAAAAGCGAATGTTAAACAACAGCTGCTGAAAGAAAAGGCATACATATTTGTGGACCATTTCAATGCACACTTCGCAGGAATCTGGTCCTTTAGGTTCCCAAGGACTATACCGATGGTATGGAATAACCAAGGATATGTCAGTCAACATGGAGCCATTCAGGGGACTAGGCTTTAGGTGGGGGCGGCTGTAAAAGAAATATTTTTAGACCATATTTGCGCATTTTGCAATAGCGCGTCCTTTAGGTTCGCTAGGACTCTATCCTTGGTATGGAATAACCAAGGATATATAGGTCATCTAGGTACCAAATTTAGAGACTATTTGTTCTCCGAGGGCGTGGCAGAAGTGGCTGAAATATACAAAAATAAATGTATTTGTTTAAATTAATTCCAATCGGAAATAGCATCTGATTTTAGAAAGATATACCTTTTAGGTTCCGTGTAAGTCTTTCAAATCGACAGAACACCAACCATTTTCATTTTGAAATGTCTATCCAAGGTATGGAATAAGCAATAATATATAGAACTTCTAGCTACCCAAGGGTATTGAATATTTTGTTGTCCATGCTCATGGCAGATCCGGCTGAAAGGACCCAAAATAAAAAATTAGTTTTTGTTAACTAAAATATGTACATTCATTATATTACCTCGAAAAGCCCAAAAAATTGACAGAGCACTAAACATATTAATTTCAGCACCAAACCACTTGCCGTTTTGGTCAACATTTAGAATGACATTTTGTTAAGTGTCTATCCATGGATTTGGAGGCCATCCAGCTATCAACTATACGGATTATTATTATGTGCTGAAAAATACAAAAATAAAAGTTAATTCGTATTTTGTAAACTTTAAATGGCATTATATCGGTTAGATTACGTCCAACTTCTGAAGGATATACCTTTTGATACTAGTTGAAACTTGAATCGATCTGTACAAGTCCGAAAACGTATACGGACGGTATTTATCCCATAATTTTCACTCACAATGTTTTTAACAGCTTTTGCGTCTGTTAACTAAATCAGATCTATGTTGCGCGGACGCAGAGCGGGAATTGAGCACTCAAGCATCTTGAGAGAGTGCCATGCAAAGGTAGGTGATCAAAGGCAGATGCTTACAAGATAAATTGTTCATTGAAACGAAAAGCAGTAAAAAAATTGTGTGAGCGAGATTCAAAGCTAGATAACGCAAGAGCAAAACCACACACATAAGCATAAGTATATATCCAGACAACACACACCTTAACATATGTATGCAGAGATAATTGCCAAATATGTACGTACATATGTATGTGTATATGCCTCGTGTATTATATTCTTCTGCATCGCCCTCTCACAAATAATTTTACGAAATGAAAATATTTGATAAACAAATTTCAATTATTTCAATGTCAATTGATACTCGCGATCCGTAAGATTCCGATAATCATACACCTTTACGGTATTTGGACGGTATTTACGCAAGAATTTTCACTGATTATAATTTTAAACAGCCTTAGTCGAGTGCTGGCGTTTAACTAAAGCCAACAATTTTGAGCGCAACAAAAGTAGACGAAAACCAACGGAGAGCAAATTGAGTGGGCAGGCCATGAATTCGACTGAGCGCAATTCAAAGCCAGAGACCGTACAAGCAATCACACACATGCACAAATAGACACATGTAGAGCGAGTCGTCAAAAATGTCAAGTGTGCGTGTATATGTATGCGTTGGGCTCTCCCGCACTTTTGCGAGTAGCATCAAGAATTGTTCTCATTTCTGTGAGCCGTTTCTTTAGGCTCTCGCGCAAATTAGTTTTGTGTAGCAATCACACACATGCACAAGTAGGTACGTACAAGTACACACACAAGCACAAACATGTACAAGCAGACGGCACTCCTAATATTGCACATGCGTTCTTTACTTTAAATGCGACTTGATCTGTTTTGTGTGCGTCTGCACAACTTAGTTCGCCGTTAATTTGACAACAGCAGTCGCTTGCAAATTTCGCAAACTGTTAAATGCTGCTTGTAAAAAACTATGAAGCATGCAAAATATGCATAGCTGCCACTTTCCATTTTGGTCCAACTTAACTATGAATTTTGGAATGCCAATTAGCAGTCCGGTTCGTACCAGCCAGAATATTACAACATTTTAGGCACGGAATATTGATATTTACTATTTACGAATATACAAAAATATTTGAATAGTTACATATACATATAAAGCTCGCGTAAATGAGACACAATCTAGTAAAATCTGGCTGCTGTGAAATCGAGTGACCTAACGATGCCAAGATGAACTCGTGAACAATCAATTCTTGATTTGACCAATGAGCGATAAGCATCAGCAAAAATTCGTGTACGCGGCAGATATGTACACATCTGTATATGCGTGCTTCTGCATTGCCTAGGTATGCATTGCGGTTACACGAATTTCTGGTCTCTAAGCAGACTTGCTCTCTGTTCTGTTACGACAGCGTGGACGTAAGGCGTAAAGAATATGGGCGCACAGAAAACTAAGCAAGTCTCGCCACCGAAAACTCGTGAGAGCCCAATGCATAGGCAGGATATAGATAAAATACAAGCGAACACACACCTGAACAAGTGCATGCAGAGAGAACATTGTGTGCTCATGCATTATCTACGTATGCATTGGGCACACACGCAATTTTTATGCTGCTTATCGCTCAAAGCAATACCTACTCTATTTTATGTGCGCCAATTTTGGTATACATAAAAAATGTATCCAGATAAATATTCAATTTGAAATCAAAAGCATCGAGTGGCGTTTTAGTCAAATTGTGCAATGTGCAATTGACTACTGGGTTCAAAGGCAAAAAGCGAACAAAAAACAAAAGGAACGATCACAAGATAAGTGCATGCGAGAAGATAGTCAAATATGTACAAATGTATGTGTTTATATATGTATGCATGCTTGTACTTTTGATGCTCACGGGTTTTATTATAAAATGAAATATTAATTATTTTCTTATTAACTTTCAATGGCTGCCGATTAAGTCCGATTCTAGAAATGTATGATTGTAATAGTCTATAGAGTTCACAGAATACTTTAAATTTTGATATCCGCACTTGCCCAGATTTTACAACTTTACAACTAATCATGTTAATTAAAACTCCCGATCCATTCAAAGCTAACACCATACACTATACGAACGGTATTTACCCGAAAAATTTAATTTATTTTATACAGCTTTGCTCGACTGCTGGCGTTTAACTAAAAGAGAATTTAGTTGCGCAGACGCAAAGTGGACAAAAACCGGCGCACAGCAAATTGAGCAAGCAAACCATAAACTCGATTGAGCGCTATTCAAAGGTAGATAACGCATAGCCAACGACAGAGAGTACACACCCAAACATACATATGTATGCATGCAGAGATAATCGCCAAATATGATATGTGTATATGTATGTCTGTGTATCAGCCTGCCTAGTGCATTATTTACTTATACATTGCGCCCCCACGAATTGTTGCTGTTCTTGCTCTATTTTCTGTGCGCCAAATTTTTGTGGTTTTGAGTTCAATTGACTCCAAAAGTCAATTGCACGCTGAGTATTGTGGTTGTGCGAGAATATATGTATAAATATGCATGCTTACATTTTTTAATTTTAAATCAACATAATTCCCGTAAATAAATCCCGATCATAAAATGGTATACCTCTTGAACAGGTAGGGCTCTACATAGGCAATGAAATAAAAAATGAAATGTAGGCGCCTCTCCATTTTTTAATATTTAATTATATTATTTTTAATAATGTGTGTTGACAAATGAGACAAATTTTCAAGTCTCTAGTTTCTCTAGATTCATATAGACGGACTTTGCTATATTAATTTCGCTGTTGATGCTGATCAAGTATATACTTATAGCGTTTATACAGAGTATTCAAGATTGTTATTAAATATTTTATATTTTATAATCAGATTCCATAGATATCCTTACGACTTATTAAGCTGTCATGAATATTGCATAAATACATTGCTATATTTGTGTGATTATAAATGCGACTTGGCATAAAAAAGTTCTTTAAACTGATGCCAAGTTTTAAGCAAGCTCTAAAGCAGACCACAAATGCAACAAATGATGGAATAGCCAAAAGCCAAATACCAAGCCTTGATTCTCAGGCAGTCAAAGCATAAAGCTGTCAAGTTTGTGCCCGTTGGCGGTAAATTTTGGCTTCACTAAACAGCAAAATCAAAAGTTTTGAAAACCGCACACAACTTTCAAAACTATTGCCGCCGCAGCAGGCATAACAATAACAAACATCAGCAGCAACAGCAGCAGCAAAAACATGGTGAACTTTGTAAAATAAGAGCAACAAGCGACCCTGCCAAACAGATGACATCACTGATGAACTACGCTCTTGGACAAATTTGCGCCCAATTATTATTATTTTATTTGGGAAGCATAGTGACTGCGTGCTATAGTTCGCATTACTATGCCGAGATTGGATGGGCGCATAACCACATAAAATAAATATATGTATATTAAAATAAATATATCAGGATTGATGCCAACCAGGGTACGGCATGTACCATCACCATTTCCTAAAATCAGTTCTTGGTGCATATGATCGATAATTATTATAAGCGCTTTCGTCCATAGATCGCGACCAATGAAATTTATATCCAATTTGGTGGAGGGGATACATTGGTATCATGTATTCCATTCGTTGGTTGCGCCTTAGAGCGCATTCCAGATATGGTCTCCATTTGCCTAAGCTTGGTATGTGACACTCCTCGGATTTTCCATTTTTGAAGAGCTCAAGCCTGAGATCAAAATACATGGGACGAGAACGTTCTTGTGCATAGTTTATATGAACATCATTGCTATAGTCGTCAGTACTGTAATACATGTATACTTTTTTTTCAAGCCAATTCATTACCCTGGGCTTATTATAGACGGTCGATTTTCCCAAACATACGTTAGCCAGTTTTCCACTAAAAGTTTAACAAATTTTTACAATATTAATAACGCGAAACTTTTGTGGGCATATGGTAGATGTAAAAAATCAAATGAATGACATCTGGAACTACAATTCCTGCAAGTACGGGAAAATTGTCGGATAACTCACTATTCATTTTCAAAGATCATTGTGAATTTCATTTAAGTTGAAAATAAGTTAATTCTATATTTGTTCAGTGGTCAATTTCAGGCTCTTCACTGCAAAAATGAATGAGTAAATGATTCAAAGATTTTTGAAGTTTACCCTAAGAGCACCTACATCTATCATTTCAAGTCTCTAGCTCTTTTAGGTTTTGAGATCCTTGCGTTCATACATACGGACGGACGGACGGATGGACATGATCTAGATCAACTCGCCTATTGGTGCTGATCAAGAATATATATACTTTACGGGGTCGGAGATGCTTCATTCTGCCTGTTACATACATTTGGATTTTGCACAAATACAATATACCCTTATATCCATTTTTAATGGGTTCAGGGTATAAAAAGAAAACTTGATACACACCCTGGGTAATAGTTTCGTCTTGCACGCGCCTGGACCCTTAATTGCACCTCAGTCGCGTTGTGAGCACTTTCCGGTAACGGTATAGTTATTTCTTTGTCGGGTTCTTCCTTATCTTCCTTATCTTTGGGCGCGGCAAGTAGGTTGTCAAAATTTTGGACTAGTTCTCGAGGCACGCTGTCGTTCGACTTAAGAAATGGAATCCTAAAATCAGAATCACGCCCATCCTTTTTCATATAGTATTTTTCTCTATAGGAGCTTAATGGTCGGTAATAATCGATCCTTGCTTTTTGAGTTTCGAATCGATCATATTGCGGCATATGAGCGTGAGTCGTTCTCTTATAGTTGAATAGCGGCTGAGAAGGCATGGCTCTCAAATCGGAAGCTTTTAGCTTATAGCCAAGCGGTAATAAGCGTGTGTCATATATTGGAAGATCATCATTTGTTGCATCTAACGACTTCATTGCGTTATTTGTGACACGGTCTACTTCACTTGGAACGGCAAGAAATAATTGCTTTTCAGTCGAGCCGGCAAGTTGTGGCACGTTTTCGAATGGAAACAATCTGTGACTTTTAGCACTTTCGGCGACTTGTAGGTTCTCCATTGGAAATAAACTTTGATTTTTATAAGTGTCGGCTATTTCCAACTTTTTCATTTGACTATCCGCAATTTTGCCTATTTGTGAGCTAGCCAGTGAAAGTAAATTCTGATTAGATAATTTCCCGTTTTCCATTTGAAGTAAACTCTGATTCATCGATTTGCCAGCTATTTGCACACTTTCCATTGGAAGTAAATCCAGATTCTTCAAATTATCAGATATTTGCACGCTTTCCGTTGGATGTAAAGTCTGCTTTTTAGCAGTGTCAGCTATTTGTGAACTCGCTATTGGAAGTAAATTCTTATTGTTGACGGTGCTCACTAATTGGCCGCTTGCCATTGGAAGTAAATTCTGATTGGTAGCAGTGTCCGTTAATTGCAAGCTTTCCGTTGGAAGTAACATTTTACTTCCAGCATTGGCAGCATTTTTCGTTGGGGCAGCAGCTGTATGGTCTACACGAGTCAACTGGGAAAAACATTGATGAATACTATTTACAAAAAAAATGTCTAAGATATTGCGAAGGATCTTGAAACTTACGCTAAATAAGCCGCCAATGGCCAAAAACAATAAGAAATTTGATTTAAGCATTTCAAAAAATTTTTTCAAACTGACTAGGAATTTGATCTTGAGTCAAATTCTGCCTTATAACTGTTTGACGTCTAAGCCGCAGGTAAGTGTATTACAACTTCTCGACTCAGTATGGTTTAGTGCCGTATCACGAAAAGGTTCCTATTCGGAATGGTTAGTGATTATTTCAAAAATCATTTTGTCAATAATATTCGGTACTTGGATTTGAAGAATTTGTCGCATTAATTCGATGGTCATTTGGAGACAAAGCGAACCTTCATTAGACCCGAGCAACGCGGAGTAAATTAGTTAGGGTATAGCAATTTATATGGGAGATATAAATATAGCGGTCGGATTTGGATGGCAATAAGACGGATCTATGTTAAAACTAATCTAGATAGATCGAAAACTATATATGCATATAGAAAATTCCATACCGTTTTGATGCTAATGCGCACCAAGAAATCGGAACTGAATCCTTTCAAACGTTTAATTTTTTTTTGCTTCTGTTAATTTTAATAGATTTATTTGAAGTTGAGTGTTTGTCCATACTTTTTGAAAGTTTTTACCTATATGCTTTAATACAACTACTACTGGCAAAACTAAGACTCTAATTAAATTTGTAGTTTACTTTGAGCACATATATTTGTTCATCGGAGACCAACTGAGAGATTGACCAGACGACTAAAACTGAAGGATAATCAATCAATATCGAATTACAGTCTGTTTGCCTGCGACAAAAAGCAGCTCGATGAAATGAAAGCTGCCGCAGAAGTACAAGCTCAGCTGTTAAAACGTCAGACGACGTATCTGGGAGCATACTCACACTTTTGTTATGAATGACGCAAAGGCACTCGTAAAAGTCAAACGATTAATATTGCGCATACGACATGGTGCACAATGTAAATATATAAATAGTTTGATAGATATTGTACAAACGAGCTGGGCGAAAACCATTAGACATTAGATCATCATCAGATATCATCAGTCTAGACAGTTTGCTACGATTTGAAAAAATACCATTGAATTAAGAGTTCAAAATTCTTTTTATTGATCCACAATAGAAAGAAAGTTCATTTTGAAGAATTTGTGTAAGTTTCAAGATAAAAGCATACAATAAACGATAGTTGAATTCTAGTCTCAATTTGTCATACTGTGTTTTATATATATCTATCACATGAATTATTTATTTTATGATTTTTTAGTCACGTCTGAGGTCCGTAACTAACATGCTCTGTTCATACAGTGCTTAAGAGCTGCCAAAAATGTAAACTTCAAAGTATGCAGAAGTATGCTATCGTTTCAGCGATAGGGACAACGCCAACAAAACATAAAGCAATGCCAAAATAAGCAAAACCATTAGCCAGGCCAAAGCCAAACTGTAGCTGCTATTAGACAAAGACTTAAGTCAAGAGTCACGTTGGCCAAATAAATTTTGTATAATGTTGCTGCGCCTCGAGCGCAAGCATTTGTAACAATAATTTTGACAGCAGGCTGAAACATTGGGGCCCAGACGTTAGGACTGTTAGTTGCAGAACCTCAGAGCTGGACACTTTGAGTTATGTTAGAAAAAAAGGTCCCAGATAAATATGTAGTGGAGCGCAACGCTCAATTGCCTGACAAACACCACATTCGATGACAAATTAAATGAAATGTTCCCACAGAATTTAACAAATCTATTGGCGGCAATTACGAATCAAGGCAGCTTCTGAATTTATAGTCAAATAAGTGGGCCTTTAAGTTAAGGCTAGCCAAGTAAATGGCACTTTGGCATTTAATGGGCTCTTGAAAATTAAAATGCCATTTTGCTACCCTGTATCAAAGCGAATACGAAAGCAGTATGATAAAAAAAAAACGTAACATGTCCGACACTGCTTAAACATATATATTCCTGCTCTGGCGTTCATGCAGAAAACAGCTGGATATGTGCAAATTTATTTCTTAAATTTTTAGATACATATATGTAAAATTATTCTCTCAGCTATCATATATAAATTAGATAATAGCAAATAATAATTATATATTCAATATATAAAATATATTGGAATAAGCAAGTTATAGAAAACAAATCAAAGTATTATATTAGTATTGCAGGGTATATTCAAGTCAAGCAATGCCAGCAATGCACACTTTAAAACCAGATGTTTTATGTGCAGGGCTGAGGTAATGGTCGATAAAGGGAAAGGCCCACGGGTCCTCGGCTTAGGAATTAGATCGCCAAATTTGTTGTCAATTAAGTTGATGATTTTATAACTCTGATTTTTATGACCAAAGTTGTATTTATGGCCTGATTCGGCCACGCCAATTGCCTTTAATACATTTTAAGATAAGTAACTGATTCAAATTTCGAGAAATTTATGTTAAAATTGGTTATTGAACGAGAATGCTTATGCAAAACTAAACATTTCTTTTAGATAATGATTTTTAAAGAATAGCCCTGACTCTACACTCTCAAAATACTCTGTTTAACACGTGTCTATAGCAATTTGAGAGCACTTCCTAAGCCAGAAACTTTTTAATCGTGTTGGTCGAAGGCAACGGTCACTTGAAGCGCCCAATTCTCTATGCTATTATCCGATCCATTTATTTGACAACTCAATACTATGAGTGTGCGTGTGTGTGTGTGTTTGTCATTTTCTGAGTTTACGACATTTTAGAAAATTTATTGCAACACCGCGCCAGCAGCAGGTTGGCCCGGAAGTCGACGAGTCGTCGCCAGCTTTTAGCAAGACGAAAGCGAGTAACCAGATTCATGTTGGGGAAATTGCCAAAAGTCATTAAGCTAGCGCATCGGTGCAACAGCAATGAGATTTTCTCACCTGCTACCCAAGGTGAGCAGCGGAAAGTCAAGAAGGAATACTGGCAGCGATGATGACGATTCCAATGGCTTATTTTTATGCAATCCCATTTTATTTGCACCCATAATATTGCTGTCTTAGTTGGCTACACACAGCACGCAGCCCAAGCAGTGCCTGCCATCTGTTACTTGCGCTTACCATAAATATAATTAAAGTTTCATTTCCGTTTTGTACTTGAAAATGGCACTTGCTGTGAGCACATGGCATATGAGTGATGCAAGCGAAACCAAGAAAGTCGTTTTAGTCAAACAATCACAGCCTCATACTTATTTGCTAACATGCCATTAACAGTAAGACGTCGTCATTTTAAGCATTTCAATTCGAAATACATAGAAAACACAATTATATCTAAGCCATGGTTTTGATAAGAGCTTGCTTCAAGGTGGAAACTCAACAGCTACTAGCTGGCTTCCAATGTCGGTTTTCAACAGAAATAACATTAATTTAACAGGGCCTTAACATTGGAATGGTTTCATGTAAGACTTGCGCCCTGTTAAAATACATGGAAAGTCAGGATTGTAAAAAGAAAATATATAATATTTGAAAGAATATGTTTTGGCCAATTACTTCCGAGCTATTTAAAGAAACAGTTTCCAGGCGTGTTCTATAACCGCACCAAGGATTGGTGTTTTATTTAACTGTTTCAGAGAGTCAGGTTTGACAGGTAGATTTTCTGACGAACTCTTAAGATCAACCTAACCGCAATCGAACAGTCAGCAAGGTCTTGCAAGGTCTTATCAAGCAGAGAAAATAAATATACTTTGTTTGACATTCAGAACAGTGTATATTACAAATAGAACGGGCGGTACTCATCTGAAGCCAATAGAAACGTGCCCGACGTTCTTTATTGAAGCATTTTGACGCCTACATAGGTGCAAACGACCATGGCACAACAGAGGAGGGTATAACGCAACTTCTGGGCATCCAGCTTGCCCTGAGCATTGCAACAGAGCAAATTCAGAAGATAGCGCCAGAAAGTGGGTCGCCGGCGTCTGCGAATCCTTCTGGCTGTCAGGGCATCGCCAATCAGTTCGATCTCCTTGCGGAGCTGCGTTTGGCTGATCAGCTTTAACAGTTGGCCGCAATTGTTTGTGTTCCTGATGGCCGTTATTTCGTCCTGACTGAGATAGTTGACGGTGCACAGCTCCCGCTCCGAGGAGATATTCGGTTCGGGTTCAGAATGCGTCAGGACACTGGGACACTGCATAGGGGCCTCCCAGCCAGTAAATCGTTCGGCCTTTTGCAATTGATTCATTTCACAATGCGTCGACGAAGGTTTCAAGGTGCCAGCGCCATTGTCATCCACGGTAATGCTGGTCCCGCTATCTGTAGTGCTGTAAAACGAAAAGTATTCGGTGTCCGGGTCCGGGTCCTGGTCCTGGTCCCCACTCCAGTCGGTGTAATACTCTGAGAGCAAGATTTGCGGATGCTGGTGTTCAAATGCAATATTGGCATCCTGTACGGACGGCTGCATTTGGTGCTCGGATGAGAGTTTTGTGATTGCCTGAAAGACAAAGTTGGCGTTCTGTTCCGGAGGCTGCATCTGGTGCTCGGATGAGGATCTCCTGATTGCCCGAAACGCAATGTTGGTGGCTTGTACGGATGGCTGCATCTGATGCTCCGATGAGTATTTTGTGTATGCCTGAAAGGGAAAGTTGACGTTCTGTTCTCGCGGCTGCATCTGATGATCGGATGAGTATTTTGTGATCGCCTCCGGTTCGCTCTGTTGCTGAATTTCGTAGGGTTCCACATCGGGCTCGTACTCCGCCAGCTCCTGCAGCTGCTCCAGCTGCTCCTGCAGCTCATCCCCGCCTCTATACCGCTGTGATCGGGCTGCCCGCTCATGTGCCGCCAAGTAGCGCCACTCTGAAAGCGTCAGGTCGCGACGTCCATTATTTGGCCTCTCAGCGTTTTGCCAGGCATTCACATAGCCCGGGCGCTGACTACCCTGGAAGCTGTACAGTAAATTGCGTGCACGCCATTTGGCACGCTCTGCAATAATGGCCACATGGAGACGGCGCTCCAGTTGGCGGCGATTGAGATTTGCGACATGGCGCGGTGCAATGTAATAATTGTAGCACAACATGCACAGCTGACTGTTGTTCAGCTGCTGAAGCTGGTCCATGGTCGTGGGCATGGTGATTGCTCCGGCTTTTGATTGACTGGCGTTGAGAGAGTTCCTAGAGCAATGATTTTTGGGTATAATTTATTATAATAT